TATCGATATTACGATTATTTTGGGAGACGTCGCCATGGTCAAATCCTCATGGGACACTGTATAAATACATAATAGAGGTAACCGTAATACCATCATAAAACTATATAGGTACAYTCGCAATAAATAATTAATTGGTTTGTCAATTTGGAGTGTCTCATTGTCGTCTATATAGGCATGAAGATATAATATAATATATGTGTAAGAAAGAAATCACATGCGTCTTTCTCTTTCGGTATACTCACCTATAGTAAACATGGTTGCGTTCATACCATGAAAAGCGAGTAGTACGACGATAGTAAGTGGTCGAGTGGACTGGAAACACAGTCCAAATCCGGACAACAAATCGATGAGGAATCCTCCGACGTGCACAATCCAATGATCAATGAATTCAGCTGAGAAAAAGTACCTGCGACAGTTTGAGGGGCGAAAGAAAAATGTATTATTAACGTACTATACGTATCATTGGCGGACTACGCTAGTTAGGTTAATGTTCGCAACGGGTCGAACGACTGAATTGAATAATCTATTATAATTTATGATAGTATAATATTCAGTGGCGTAATTAAACATTTTGGCCCATGAGTGAAATTTTTAAAGCCCCTCTCTCCCATATACCTAGTCAAGTATCAGAGATTGCATAGGCCCATAGAAGTGGTTGTCCATTAATTGCTGAAATTGTTTCGTGCACCTTAAAAAAAAATAAAATATTTTTAGATGTTTTTTGTTTTTTTTAATCATACATTTTTTCAAGTAGACACCATATATAGTAGGACGTATAGTATTTTAAAAATATGTGTCTACCCTTGCTATTTGTCAAATACACACAAACAAAAGTTTTTATCAACAATTTTGAATTTTCAGTAAGTAATCATAAGTATACCTGCGGTATACTGGTATACATGAACAGTGAGCTGGTGACATATTATCATTCATACTCATTACTGCTACATAATATTCATTAAATTAATATTAAATGTGTCGTGAATCATTAAAATAGAAACATATTTCGGGCCCGCTAGCGTTTGATTAGCGCTATGCTACTGCACCCCACATTGATCACTCATGAATTGCGCCACTGATATTATGCATTAGTTTTTGAAGAAATCAATTATAATAACATATAGACCTGAATGGAGTGAACGCGTGATGGTGACCCAATGACATCATCGAGTAACCCCACAGCCAATCGGGTTCGAACTTTTTTAGGCCAGCCACGAAGTACATGATGAAAAACTGTATCCTGAGTAGAAGATAGTTCCAACGGGGCACCAATGATGGCGCGTCCGATGGCATTTTTCGTCGAAGCCATCTGTCCACGGACCTTCGGGGTAATACGCGTATGGTGTAAATATCATTTATTTTATTTGATAATAATATTATATTGTAACGTATTGTATTAAAGTGTTGGGCAAGTTTTTTTTTTGTTTGTTTCTGGTTATTGAATATCATATCACATAAATCTATTTACCATTAAAAGGTTGTAATRAAATTATTCTTGAGTTAYTTTTTTTTTGCTACATTATTTTGAGTTAAACAAAGCAACTCTATTAAAATTAAAATTAAATACATTTTTTATTATATCATTGGAGCTTAATTATATTTATTGATACATAAACTAAGTATAATAACTACCAACAATAAGAATTTATATAAAATGTTTATTTAAAAACCAGATAGAGTAACAATTATTATTTTTTAATACATAATTTCTAATTAGATATTCTAATAACAATTCATTTTCAAATTAACRCCTAGTTAAAATTAAACTTTTTAGTCAAATAGCTATTACAATAATTTTAAATTTTAAAATCTTACTTAAGTGCCTAATATGTGAAATACGAATTTGTATATGATATATTTACATACATCGATCGGTTCTTACTTCATAAAATGTATTAAATTAAATAAAGTAACGAGCAATTTAGTACCTAATTTTATTTCAAAAAAGTTACTTAAATCGTGTATAAATTACTTACAATAAATTGCATAGTTAAATAACAATAAAATTATTTAAAAAATGATTTCTTTATATTAACTCGAAACTTGAATTAAGTTACTTCCTTACGCTTTAATTATAATAACATGTTTTATAGACTATAGTGAACGAGACAAAACATAGTTTTAGGTAGGTACTCTTCTTACCAGTTGCGATGAGCGTCTGTCACGGAGAAAATGACGATCAGCAGTCCGAATAGATACGAATGGTTGTTCCACGAGCTCTTGTCGGCCAAAAATATGTACCAGTAAGGAATCGCATACATGGCGCAGCTGATTCGGTAGTGGAAACCGGTGAATATGCCGAGAACTCCTATACAGTACACCACGAGTAACGGAATAAAGTTTTTAAGTCAAATAAGAATATTGAAACGTGTTAGTGTATAAATATTAAATATGCGCGCGCGCACACACACACACACACACACACACATATATAATATGACATATTGTACATTTTTATATATTTTGATAAACATTTATGTGATTGTGACTAACCGGAAAACATTGCCACGTACGCCAAGCATATCCATCGGCCGGGCAGCGGTTTAACAAAGTCAAAAAGTGGAAAATAGCACTTCATGGGTTCCATCCATCGTTTGTCGGCCTGGCAAAAGCCCCGTTCGTCCATCGTGTCGATCATCATCAGCAGACCTATCCATTAAAGTGTTGAAAAACTTTCATAAAATTGCCTACATTCACAGGTGTCAAAATATCTCAACGGTATAGTAATAAGTTATCGTGGACCAAAGTATAATATTTATAAGTGTAAAATCTCGCCACCTCGTCTTGAAAATAATTTTTGTGCAAGACATAGGTATACGTCTTATCCTGATCCTGAAGGTCAGATAATCTCCATGATACTTTTTAAGTTAATAGCGGATATTATAAAAATATTGATTTTACTGAAAAGTAAATCATTATAAATTTTTTTTGAAAATCCAAAGTGATTAATTAAAAAATATTATGAAAATAATAGCAATGAAATATTAAATGTATCAACATGGTATTACAATAAAAATATTATAATATATTTCCATAATATTCAAAATGAATAATATTCGCATTTGTACGTAGATCACTAGTTGCGTACATTCCGTAGATTATTTTATACAAGAATGCCTAATATTGTACATTATAATATTGCGATAAGAAAATTTTTATAATTTTATTATTGTTGCGTTAAACTCACCGAAAGCTATCCGTAACGCGGCCAGACACTCTCCGTCTTCGGGCTCAAACATGTACGATACCAGCCATTTCCAAACGGTCGTGACGTCAAGCCGAATGTTTTTTCGCGACGATTTATCGGCGAATTTTTCCGTGTCCGCATCCATCGCTCRGAAGTGTGCGAATGGGCCGGCCGAGCACAACGTTTGTACAGCGATCGATCTAAATAATTATTAATACGTTTTTCGTCTCAGCAAATAATTGACGTGTCGATCGGAAACGTTTGACGGTTATGTGGCTCGACATAGTGACGTGTATCATTAACATAATAATTATATTATTATATTATAATATGTGTTTTAATTGAAGACCACCGCGCCTGCATCAACTTGCGTACGAGCCGATGCGATGTCGTACGCGATGATAATAATAATAATAGTGTGATTATGAGATGATTGCTTAAAATTATGAATATGTTGGACGTCGTTTTAGGTTTAATCAGATGCGAAACGGAATATTCGTATATGTTTCCAATAAACACTAAACATTTCAACACTTATTTAATGATATGTATTATGATATTATTGTGCATAAGTAGGTGAAACAGTGGCGTATATAAGGGGGGGGTGCCTAGTGGGCTGCAGCCCCTCCCGAAATTACAGTCTTAACTGTTAACTATATTGTAGTCTCTAGGTGCTAGATAATTATTGTTAGTCGCTATATATATTATATTATTATAGCCCACCCCAAAAATTATTTCTATATACGCTACTGAGGTGAAATTCACCTAATGAATTATATATCATTCGTCCACTGCACATCTCTAGGCGTCGTGTATATATATGTATAATATATTATGTATAATGCATAATATATTACTATCTTAGTTTTAATTTTTTTTATTTGAAAAGCTTTTAATCAGTTAATACAACTAAAGATCGAAAGTTATTTTAAATATTGTGAAAATTATGAAAATCACAAAACAAATACAAGCATAGTATAGCAAACTAACTTCCAGTATGAAAACAATAATATTTTTAGTGATCACTTCAGTATTAAYGCTTAGAATAGAGAAGTATATATATTATCTAATATTTTATTGATAATTAATACCWACATCATTTTATTTTATTTTCGTCCATATTGTATAATATTTATGACAAATTATTCGTCAGTCACTACTTTAGAGCTGCGGCCATAATCATGGTTATGCATCCCACCTATACACACGGCTGGACAGAATATATACAATTTTAATATTTTCACTTAAAATTTAATCTTAAAAAAATCGAATAAAATTTACCAAATAATATGGTGTATAATACATATTATAAGTGTACGTATTTATTTTTGATTGTATATTTATATTTATTATTGATTAGGAATTATAGGACATTTTCCAATCATCACGAATATTGATCTAGTTTTCTGATTTTCTACAAAAGTCATTATTGGAATTCTTGGATAAAAAATAATACTGTGTAGCATKGTCGGTAGGTTATCATTTCAGTCACCAAAACGTTTATAGTATGAACCAATGAACCATCATCACACATGAGTCACTATACTATAATACTTTGGTACTATTTTATATCAAAGTATAAACCTCTATGACTCTATTAGTCTCTTCAGGTAAGTATCCAACTGGRCAGTATTTCAGTGTTTAAAATTAAAAGCCACCGCGTGACGCAGCATTTGTAATAGTATTTGACGTTTTGGAAAAACCTTTTCTGTAAACATGAATCTGGTTTGACAATGACTTTTCGTGGATAATTTTCCGTCGCTTCAACTGACATCGAAAATAATTTAACTTTCAGTGTAGGTGTAATCAAGGATGGGTTTTATCACCATACCCAATTAACCTTAGTATTTKACTAAGAGTCGGGGGAGGAATTCAGATTAAAAATTTGATGAAGTATATTTTGTATKGAACCTGTATTTTACCTTGTTGCATTAGCGTATGCACGAGTACTAGGTTTATTAGTGGTTTGAGAGGCTGCTTGGTTGGCTGGTTGGTAGTTGGACTGGTCAGCTGGAGGATGTTGATGCTGTTGTGAATGCTGTAGACRGGCATGCTTGGAGCTCACGGGATGGCGACGTCGTTGCTCGATCTCAAGGTATACAAAGAACTGTGTTAATGGGATTTTGGTTTGATAATATTGGTGACTTGCCTCCAGTTGCCTGACATTATGACCAATTTCTTCAATTTCTGCTGAGATTTCGGAAACGGGAGTCGTTGGATGGAGATTTCTTAACACTACTCTAAAAGCTTTATCAGATTTTAATTGATATGTGTGATAGTGTGCCTTATTGTCTTTCAGAAAGTGGATTATTTTTCGGTAGTTATCAGGGGTGTCAAGCTGGAGTTTAAGATGCGAAGACTTACAACATAAACTGTGTGGGCCAGTGATAATAGCTAGTTCTTTGGATGGTTCGGAAAATTGTTTAACGCTTTCAACGAATATTGGTGGTCGCAAATCTATTTTCCTTTGTGTATGTGTGATAGAGTGCACGGACCCCTGGCTTTGTGTATCGACGTCAACTGGATTCTTATCGTTAGAGTTGGTGGAGTAGGTCTCATTTTCAGCAAGGACAGCGTAGCGGTTTGGAGAGACAAGGAATCTTGATTTCTTGGTAGTAATAGGTGTTAGCGGGTAGAGAACTTTATTAGTTTCTAAWTGCGGCTGTGCCGCTGTGGTTTGTTATCTGTGTTAATATTATTAACGGATTTGTTTTTAATTATTTCTTATAGGCAGCCCGGTGCGTATACAGCTGAAGATTTGTTATTAGTAGGCAYAGTTATCTGAATCCAAAGGTCACCGCATATGCCGTTGCCTTGGCATTAGCACACTACRATCAATAATTTAGTAGTTGGTTAAATTACATTTTAAAATCAATGTTATAGTTTATATTATTAATATTCACTTTTTCCGAAGGACTGACATTTTCTTTGGCTGCGATTTCGCTACTATTGTTGTAGGATTGAGACAATTGTTTCAATATAGATAGTAGGTAATCATATCGTTGCACGAGACAGCGAAAAAAACGTGACCGCACTCGACGGCTGTCCACACGGAACTGATTTTTTCAGATTTAAAAGTATTTAAAAATATACATTAAAAATGTTTTTAAATATAACTCATAAATAAATATTACTTTATAGAAACCTCCTAATTGTTTCTAATAACACAGTATATATTTGTTCAAACAATAGAAATAAATCAATTACTAATAGCTTCATCCATCCTTAATTACACGGCTATAACGCAATATATTTTATGATATAACTTARTTAAATTAATAAAATAGGGGAAAAATCCGAATATTGTTCAAAACTTCAAAACTTACAAATACAATTTTAAAATAATTTGGTAACCTTAATGTTTTGGTAGTTTATTTTGGATATTATAAGCGATGAACATATTTATTAAATATTTAAACAAAAAGTAACCTACATAGTTAAATATCTTACTGCAAATAATTGTAACGTTTATGTTATTTTATTGTAAAGTAATTACGAACAATAGTGAATAAATAGGATAGGTCATGTTATACTTATTTTAGTCGAACTGCAATCGTGTAAAAAATAGATAATGATCGAACTGTACTTAGGTTGAAGAAAAGCAAGTAATGTTTGAACTGCAGTCGAATTCAAAAAGTTTYAACTCATTTCCCTTCTTAATTATAATTTTTAGGTTTATTAGGACTAACAATAATTTTAATCATTGGCGTGGTTAAAAATTAGATTTTGTATATATATATATATAATGTTACATTTTAGTATATTACACATATTGTGTAATATTTTTTTTATAAATAATTTAT